TCCCTACAAAACAGTTTTTATTACGATATTTTTAAAGTATATTTCCTTCCACATAAACCACACACATATATATATATATATGTATATATATTAGAAATTAAATTTGTGACTTCCTTTTCCAAATTTATGCCAAACCAAATAAATTATAGACAAGGATTATTACCAAGACGTACGAGGAAATTAAAAAATGTAAAGCAACAAAGTTTATATTCAGGTGAAAGCTTATATGTAACTCGTGGATTCTATAATTAATACTAGAATATAATGGATTGAAACGTGTAGAAGTTAAAGGAATAAAAAAAAAAAAAAAAAGTAAAAGAGATGAGCTTCTTACTATCCACATGAGAAAAGGCGTTTTGGTCCAGAAACTTAAATGCCTCCTTCCAAAGGATGTGTCTCTCGCAAACCTAAATCGTTCGGGATCTGTGATGGTATAACAACAAATATATATAAATTAATCACCTCATTATCTATTGTCAAAACTAGCTAGTTGTAAGTTTTATTGATTAATTAATTTCTTATACAATAAACAGACGGTACTTAGCTAGCTAGACAACTAGTACTCTACTTTTTTTTAACTTTTAAATGAAAATAAATACTGTTCGTACCAATATAGTACACAGTTTATTGCACTAATTACCATGTGAGAATTGGTATTCCACAGTCCTTGTTTCCTTTTCCCACTTCTTCCATCTTCTCATCTGGAACCAAATTATATATAATTCCTCATAATTAGCCAAGAGAAAATAGGAATTAGGAAAGAGAGATTTCACGAATATATATTATTGGTTTTTAAGAGATTTATAGGTATAATACACACCTTTGCTCTTCCCAGAGCCATAGTGATGATGCAGTAGAGGACGTGAAAAATCGCCAGAACGAATATGAAAATATGAAGCTGATGAATACCATCCGAAGACACAAACGGGACTTGTCCCTGCAAGTTTTATCATGTTCCATAGAATATTCCAATATATTAATAAGTATAATTAAACGTATAAATATATTCTTTCCCTCCTAATTAGTAAATGAGCAAGATCAATATCGGTACATCAACTTTAGATTCTTGCAACATGTATATCTTATATATACAGACACGGACATGGAATTCCCTTGACTAATTTATGCACACGTAAATAAAACAATAATTTAAAGAAATCCTATCAACAAAATTTGAATAATTATTATTAAGTGATCATATTTTGTTCTTCAAACATATATGACCAAACAGATACAACATTACTTTCACGTGAAAGCTCCTTTGTGCTTGTCTGACAATGCCATATTCGTTTTTTATTTTTCGTTCCTTTGATTTTCATGTACGGAAATGCTTTACGACAAGTTGCCGTTTGAATGTCAGCTGTAACAAAAAGATTTATAAATAATATTTGTATAATTTTGAAATTTATAAAGGGGTAAGAATGGAATATGCGCTAACATATTATTAGTGGTGGAATTCAAAAAGCGTTAAGACAAAAAATTGATGGCATGGTAGGATTAGGAATATTACTAGTTAGTCGTCCCGGGCGGCCGTACCTTTTCAGCACATTTATCGGTCCCCGCCGACGCCAAAACTCGGCGGAAACTTCCGCCGGACTCCAGCGCCGCAAGTAATCTCCGACCATTGCTTTCGTGATCTGATTCATGATCTGTTTCGTTCTTATATAAATCCTTTTCTTGGTCCTTGCTACATGGATGCCAAGTGGCCGCAACTTTCTCGGATATGCAAATATTTGAGATTAGAGTTTGTCCTACCGTTAGGAGCAACGATATGAATCCCAACAGCATAAGCTCTAAAACCACAAAATTAAATTAACAAACTTTAGTAAAATTATTAGCTATTAACACACACAAAAAATAAAATAAAAAATAAACTGGATAAAGAAGGACATATTACAAAATAATATCATGTGATGTACCTGATTTGACCTTTTCTAGCGATTCAAAAAGAGCTCGCTTATGCTTCTTCTTCAACCACTGCATGAATTTCAGCTCAGAAAATCAGTTTACCTCGCTATATATAAAGTATTAAAAACCCAATATTATTTGCTTAATTTGATATAATTTACCTCTCCTATAAGATGGATTATGTGTTCTATAACAATTGAAATGAAAACCAAAACGAAACAGACAACGGCGACTGCCCATGTCGGCGTTTGCTCGAGAGATCTTCCTCCGCTTGCTCCTGCCATAGTATTCTAACTATAGTATGCTCTCTGAGTTATTTGAAGTAGAGAAGAGAACCCAAGAAATGATATGTATGAATTAGGTAAATTAAGCCCCGTAAGAAGTATATGATCGTTGATATGTGTATATATGGAGGCTTGAAATTTGTTGTGTGGAAGTGAAAGTGAAGCTATATAAATAATAGAGAGAGAGAGAGAGAGAGAGAGAGAGAGGAATAATATTGTACAGTTGCAAACAACAAAGGAAGTTAAATGGAAGTCGAAAGTGAAATGCAGTGTTATATAAATAAATTAATTAATAAAAAAAGAGGAACAATTGAAGGGACAGAAATGGAAGGGGACGACTTTGACTTCTTAACGCGTAGAGAGCTAGAGAGAGAGAGATAAATAAATAGATAGATAGATAGGTAGATAGTTAGATAGATAGAGAGAGAGAGAGAGAGAGAGAGAGAGAGAGAACATCCTTTGACTTGGTCAAAAAATTCAAAGAAAGTTTTCTTTGACTTATACCCAGAATGTCATATAATGGGATAAATGGAGAAAATATAAGAAAATAATAATGTACATACGTAGATACGGTGTATCTCTCAGTTGAATGATTTGAGCATCTGCTTAATCCCCGCCGTCCAATTTATTACTCTTTCAAGTCAACCCCATCTTTGTATAATAATACGTAACAGCAAAAATTGTTTCCACATTCTTTTAAACTATTCTTTTTGAATTTTTGCTTTTGCTGACCATATCGTTGAATTGAAATCCAACGGTTGATAATTGACTCAAAAACAATGTAAATAATCCACAAAAGTTTGCTGATTAATTTCGTAAACATCTTTCTTTATTCTCTAGGCAGAAATTGTGTGGCTTCAATTTTGATACGTATATACACTATATTTACTATTCCAATTATATACCTATCTCGTATTATACGCCTTATAATATCATGATTTATGTGTTTTTCTTGATCTTCTTTTTCTCGGTTAATTATAAGTTACATATCATATTCTAAGTTTATAACTAGAGTTCGTTATATTAATAATTTAAAAAACTTATTCTTTTGAAGAGTTTACCTGACTTGGTCTGCCTATTATAAAATCTTCATCCACAATATTCTATAGGCATGTTCTTTTCTGTAAATAAAATATGTATCAACAGACACGGTGACAGATATAATATATATGTAGACCTAAAGATAAGAGTTTTCTCACTAATTATATATCATTTATATATGCCACATAATCTGCTATACATATATACACATATATATATATGTCTATTTTTCCTTTCTTTAATCTACCAAATTTCGGTCAGTCAAAAACCTACGAGCACAAAGAAAATCCTTTTTGTTTCAAATTATCTATTAATTTCTAAACGCTGAATTAAAAGTGTAAGCTATTGCCAACATTATTGGATAAAGATGTCCTAAAATATATATATATATATATATATTAGATAAAGAAATCTTGTTCCTTTGACTGAAATATATGTACTCGGATTCTCTGTCTAATTTTAGTGTCTCAATTAGTACTGTCTAATTAATTATATCATCTCATGTCGTATAAAAATTTGAACTGCTTTTTAACTAATTCTTTTTTACTTATCATGAATGATATGGTATAATGTAATTGGTTAGACACTAATTAGAATACTAAAAGTTAGACAGTATATCTCGATCCGAAATATATATCTCTTCTTTTTCTTTCGTGGAAATTGTTTTTAGAGAAAATTGTTGAACTTACTCTTAGAGTGTATGAGTCTAGATTTGTATCCTTTTAGCTAATATAGTTATATGATTAAAAAAGATATCAATAAAAAATAAATGGTCAAATTCCAACGTATGTACTCTAAAGGGCATTTGCCTCTTTTCCCTCCGTTTTTATGGCTGGCTAAGATTGGTTCAAAGTTGGTCCAGATGAAAGAAAAAAGGAAAGCCTACAGCGCTCCTTTTGTGGAGAGAATCTATATATAATTAATTAACGTTCCAATAATTTGTCCACATTGAACTAAAAGAGAGATAAAATTAACTCTTAGGTTGCTATTGCTAATTATAAACCAAGCAATAAGTGATATAGAACATATATTGGAATGGAATTCTCTCTGTGATTGTTTATATATGATGTCTGACTAATAAAATTTTACAATATTATTTAATGGACTCAAATATTAAGATGCAAACGTATATTAAAAAGCATTTTAAATTTTTTAATATGTTTAGTTAAATTACATCATTATTTTAGCCACAAAAACTGCAAAGATAATCTAAATCCAGAATATATGATCAAATTTTGCTGCGTCATTCTGATCATCTGTTTGGTATCTGAATCCAAATGGTGTATCGTACAATTAAATTAGAGTAGATCCTCCCTTTATATTTATTACCTTTAAATTGACAAACTATAACGAATAGTTATCATCTAATCCTTTTCCTTCAAAACAAAACAAAACAAAATATTAACATATATCCAATCCTAGACTAGTTTGTTCTCTGTCTCTCTTTTATTATACTTACTTTTTTTCTTCAATTGGAATCCAACTTTCTAGGTTTAATACATACGCTGCTATATACCATGATGTGTAAATTAACTACGCAATATTTGTGAAACTACATAAAAGCACGCGTAACGTAATTAATCATGCTCCCAGTATTTCGTGCAATTTTATCAAATCCAAAAATAATTTTAAAGTCGTAAAAATTTATAATGGAATCGAATCATAATGTCCCGGCACCATCATGGAACGTACATAAATATTAGATTGAGTATCACTTTTGAAGACTGATTATTAATTTATATATTTATATTTAAATTCGGCTTATTTTTTTTATAAATTAAATGTATATTCAAATATTAATTCATAAAAGTGATTTTCTTCTCATTCACCTTCTTATAGGCTCGTAACAACTAAACCGACCAGGTAAGACAGTCCACGAAACGTTTATCTAAATCTAATTATAAATAACCAATTAATGATTAAAAAAGAAAAAATTATTGAACTTTATTTTATAGAGTACATGAATCTAGATTTTTTATTTATTATTTTAATTAATACAATTATTTAACTAAAATGATATTACCGTTAAAAAACTTGAACCGGCTAAGCCAATATTGAAAATTCAGGTTGCTGGTTAAACTCCTTGCCTCGTATGCATTATTGAACTTTCCTTAAAGTTGAAAGGCTGCGGCATGCACAGTAAAACGACAACGCAGATAGTTATTGTGGGGCCAATTTGATAACCCGTCTTGCAAATTAGTCTAAATTAATGTTTTTTTGGGGGGACCAATGTCTGTTGTCATGTCATAAAATTTGTCCTTGTTTTTTATCGAGCTACTAATTAGGGCCTGTTTTTTTCTTAAATTTGAATTAAGAATTTAAATTTAGTATAGAAAAAAAATATTGTAATAAAAAAATTATATTTAAATTTTTATGAGAGAAAATATTGTAATAAAAAATTTAAATTGTGATTTGAATTAGTTAAAAGAACATGCATTTAAATTTAACATATCTTTATACGTAAACGGGGTGACGCTAATTTTGTCAATTTGATCCGCTAGTAGATTTAGGTCTCCTGAAAACGGCTAGAAAAATAACGATTTTTGTGAACGATGTTGTTGCTTCTAATAAACTCTAGCTTGGTTCGTTCGCATGAGAAGACAGCGACGTATTAGTGTGATTATGTTAATTTTATAGTTTGTTATATATATATATATGGCCCTTCTGGAACGAGAGAGCACTAAACTAACCAAGTTTTTAGTCGCTATATATATATATATATATTTATATGGATGCTTGTAGAATCATGGGTTCTGACTAAAAATGACGTTTGTGTTTATAATTCTATGAGCACTCAATGTTGACCGTAATGATCGATGCTCCAACTTCTCGTAATGCACGTTTAGTTTTTGCAAAAAGAAAAACAAAACGCAAAAAAACAAACAAAACAAAAAAGAAAATGAAAAAATTAAAATAATAATAAATCAAACGGTGAAAGGAAAACAGTGAAAATAATGTCTAATGTAAGTGTATATCATCGCTGGTTATATATACATATAATTTTTCTTTTGCTAATAAGTACTCATATACATAATATGAAATATTCATGGACTTTATATTTTGTTGCTAGTAATGAGCATATATGTTGTTGTATAGGATGCAACATCCTTTAGAAACATAACTTTGTCAATAATCAGCTCCAAGCGTCACAAGTACTTGCAAATTAATTAGAGACATTGTATGACTTCAGTTTAATTAAATTAATCCCTATCGCTAAAACGGTTTTAAGAGGCTATTATATTTATACGTTTTTAATTTGCAATTTGCATATTCTTTGAAGAAACTTCGGGCAGAGTAATGTCAACTCTAAGGTGGCTTTTACCTAGAAACCGGAAAGTAAACATATATGAGTAAAGTTCAATAATTTTATAGCAGCTAAAAACAATATGGCGCTTACAAGGTCTGCCTGACCTTACTTATAAGCCCATATGTTTTTACCTCAATTAACCTTAGTAAGAGATAAAACATGGCTTAGTCCCTACTCAGCGTAACGAGTACAAAGTCAATTAGTATTTTTTTTAATGCAAAAAATATTTCATTAATCAATAAACCATGAAGCTTACAGATAACTCAATACAACAAATTTAATACAACAAATTAAAATCAGTAGATATATTGGTGTCCTAGTACAGACATCCATGGTTTGATAGTAGACGCAATTTAGAGCACTTCTCTTAGCTCGTTTAATTCTCCCACCATAGTTGGCTCTCCTGAAAGGGCTGTAGCAAACTCTCTGTAAAAACCGATCTTTAAAAATTAATATTCTTTTAGATCAAGCTCGCTGAAGCGGGAGATCTAGCTAAATATATAAAGAAGATAAAAAAAACAACACAAACCCCACATAATGTTATAGCTTGGTGGGGGAATACAACAAAAAACAACTAAAGTTCATACAGATTTAGCAATTTGTGAGGAAAAACAAACACCGATACTGATAGAATGTTTGTCTTTATTCTACCAATAACTAAAAAAAAGAGAAGAAAACACCAATACATATTTCACCATCGTGTAAATCGCGTGAGAGTAAAACCGTTAATAAACTGAGGTAAAATTAAACAGAAGAATTACGTATAAAGTGTTCATGGATCTTCATTTGTTCGTTTTTCGCTCTGGATCCATAAAGAAACAATAT